GAAGTACACTGCTGAGGGGAGCAGCGGGCGGGTCAGGAGAGGTCTGCCACACCATGTGGTCACCTCCGGGGCAGGCGGGAATCGAACTCATGCGAAGTGGCTTTAGCTTCTCCGTGCTGTGCTTTAACCCACTGCGCCACCAGGAGGGCCTTAGCTTGTTTCTTAAATAAACTTATTTACACTTCTCAAATTTAGAAGTCCCCAGACAGAACCCCTAAAGCCCTTTCTCAGTAAAAAATGATATGTTCCAAAAACACCTCTAGGATTCGGTTAATTTGCTGGAGCAGCTCACAGAACTCAGGAAATAAGTTTACAGTTTATTAAAGGATATGATGGGGACACAGATGAACAGCTAGTTGAAGCAACACAGACGACAAAGTTGGAGAGGGTCCTAAGTGCGGACATTTCTTTCTACAAGGAGCTGGGGTATGTAGATTGTTTGCCCATCCAGAAGCCCCCCAAGCCCACTAAAATTGGCACAACCAATTATTAACTCTGTTCCTAGCCCCTTCCCCCTCTCTGAAGGATGGGGTACTAGAGCTGAAAATTCCAAACTTCCATTCATGGCTTGGTTTTTCTGATGACCAGCCTGCAACAGGGGTCACTCAGAAACCCACTTAACCTTCTCATTGGAACAAAACACACCCCTGGTGTTCATTACCACTTAGGAATTATAAGGGTTTTAGGAGCTTGGACCAGGGGCAGGGGCAGAGACAAATATATGTTTCTTCTATTAGCTCACATCTCAGAATGAGGAATGAACAAGAGACTCATGCTCCTAGTGTGAACCCTTTGCAACTCCCCTGAAGTTCAGACCCATTTCTAACTGCCTGACACTTTTAGTTTCTTTCTTAAACTTATTTACACTTCTCAAACAGAGCTCCTACAGCCCAGGCTGTCATCATCCTTCTCACTAAAAGGCACCACATGCTTCCTGTTCTGTAAGCCAGAAACCAACTCACCACCTCCCCTCTCCTGTGTGTTCTATGAGGTTATCATAAGACTCCTGGTAACCTTGAACTTCTTCCTGTTCTTACTGTTCCACACACCACTTAGCATGGGGTCACTCCACTCCAGTCCCACTGGCCTTTGTCCCACAGCAGGGCCCAGTGCTGTTCACTGGGCTCCCTCTCACCTCTGTCATAAACAGGCCTGCTCTGCTCCTTGGTAATCAAGCTTCCAACTGTTGACGCTCACGCCATTTCAGGACTGTTTTTCTTTAGCACAGCAAGTGATGCCTTCTTAATGAAGGCATGTAGAATATAAGCTCTAGGAAACTTTTGTTTCAACCAAACTCTACCTCGTCCCTTGTGTTTGGAACCAGGTTTGGTACAAAGCAGCGTTTGTTCTCTTTGAGTTTCCTCTCTATCAAGTCTTCCTCAAGTTTTCCCTCCTCACCAAGTAATAGGAGATTTTTCTTCCTGATTTCCTCTTTTCTTAATACTACAATTCTTCAAATTGTTTTCATTTTACCAGATTTAATTCCTATAGGTATACTGCAATGGGGCAATTGTGTGTGCATGTAGGGGAAGCAACCTGCTAAAGAGTTCCACTTCCAAAAACCCTGAAGGAAGTAATATTCCCTACTATTGAATGAGCTGTAACTTGACCAGCTCCCCTGAACTGGTCTTGGTTGTAGCCAGCTAAGCTTCAAAAAAAAAACTACGGTCACTGAAGTTCTTTAAGTCAAGAGGCTGAGATGGACAGTCCCTCTTTTCAGCTGTTGGCATGGGTTTTTGTGTTAAAGTCTCTTAGAAGTTCAATAAGTTCATATGTTAAAGGCGCTCAGCAACCTTATTAGGCGCTCAGCAACCTTATTAGATAGGAACTGTAATAATCCCCAATTCACAGTGAGAGATCACAAGTTCAAAGAAATTAAGTAACTTTTCCAAGGTCACATGAGCTTGGCAGCATGGACCTAGGAAGCACACACTTAACCCCTAGGCTACATTACCTCTTTGCCACTCTTTGTCCCCCAGGCTTCTCCTGTCTTGGTTAAACACCCAGTTCCTTCCCTCAGTTAAGTCTGCTCAGAGAAGATCCCCTCTAACCACACAAGTCCTGGCCTCAGACTCCTGAGCTCCTGTAGCAACAGTGAGTACCGACGAAAGCCCCGCACTAACCTCAGGCATTAAGCCGCGTTTAGTCTCCATATGGCAGGGGTTATCATCATGCCACTACCAACTTCAGAAAGGAACAGCTTTAGAAAGCCTAAAACTAGGAAGTGAGAACTCTGAAAGGTCTGCTTCTGATGCGGGTCTGTGCTGGATACTCCAGGGAGGACCTATCACCACCATCTCATTATACCAGGAATTTTTCCAAGGCACATTCCTATCTAATGTCTTGTTTAGTTTTAACTTTTCAAGATGTAATGACCATCTTTATTTTACACATGAGAAGTGGGTGAAGGTGGGTGGCCCTTAGGCATTAAAGTGGTATTCTGAGCCAGGCCCATGCCCAGACAGTATAACCCTTCCCACTACACAGAACACCCTCTAAACTCTCTTGAGGTAAAAACACCACAAGCAATCTATCACTAAGGGCCACAACATCAAATGCTTTAACTACATTTTTTTAATCGCCAAAACAACCCTGAGGCAATTTTATTTATCTGTGGTACAGACAAGAACAAGGAGGTTCCAGGAATAAGTGTGTCATTCTGCCGGGAACGGAGAACCACTCGGCCAGCTGGGCCAGCACAGCTTCGGCTTTATTCAACCCTTTGTACAACTAGGTCTCCCACACTTTGCCTCCTCTCACTGATCCTGGGAGAGAGAGAAATACCAACATAGCAACTTAACAGGCCCAAAGTACGATTCATTCCGAGGGAATCACAGCCTGGCACAGCGTGACCCAAGCCCTGCTTGGCACGATGGGACTGGTTACCACATGTCCCCGAACAGAAGAGTTGCAAGTGGGGGGCGGTGAGGATGACCTTGCTTTTCCCTGTCGGAACTGGAAGGGTATTCATGATTTTCACAGTGAGTTGCTGGGAGAGGTGTGCAGCCCAGAGAGAGTGAGGAGGGGAAGCGGGAGCGAGAAAGAGGCGCAGGCGAGAAGTCAGTGTCACCGAGAGAAGCTGTGAAGCTGTCGCCATGGAGTTAGGACCCTCGGAAGGCGCCCGCGTCTCCACGACGCTGCCAGTCGCTCTTCCTCTGCCGGCCTTAGTTTCTCCAGGCCCTGCAAGGGGCTCGGAGGGGACAGCGAGGGTCCAAGACTCCAAGGCCCTGCCGGCTCCGGCCTGACAACTGTCGGCTTTGCCTCCCGAGAGCTGCCGCTACGGTTCAAGCCCCCGACCCCGACCGTCACGGCGTCCGCAGGCCGCCTCCTTGGCGGGCCGGGGCACTTACAGCCCGGAGGGACGCCAGGCCCACCAGTCTCCGCGGCAGCGCCTTCCTCACAGTCGCCATCTTGGCCCGGCTTCCCCAACGGCGTACAGCTGTGTCCCACGTGACCGTGGCCCAGCTGGGTCTGGCCCCGCCTTGGGGGCGGGACCTCCAGAGCGACGTCAGTGACGCTCCACGATGGCTCCGCCCCTAGACCCTAGGCATTTTTTTTTTTTAATCTCCTGGCCAATTCTTCCTCATCCTTAAAAATTCTTTCTGAGCGGCTTTTTTGTATCAGCCAGAGTGTGGCGCTTGGGCTGTAAAGAGGAACGACAAGAAACTAAGGTCTCATGGTGTTAGAATCTGGGACGTGTGAGAACACAAGTCGTGAGCTCACAGGGTATAACTATTTCTCAAAATGAAGCAGTATGATTTCCCACACAAAGACAGGTTGCTCATTAGAAATCTTAATGTGCTTATACCTACAGATTTCCACCGTGATACTTTTCACTGCATTCTGTTAAGTTTTGGTATGTTGATTTTTAATTTTCATTGATCTCTATATACTTGTAAATTTACCCTGGGATACTTCTTTGCTGCTTTGGTAGTATGAATGCAGTTTAATTTACATATGTTTGTGAACTTCTCAGATTTCCTTCTGTTATTGATACCTAACTTTCAAGAGGTCAAAGAAGAGCTTTTCAATGCTATTTATTTTTACACCTACCGAGACCTAATTTTTGGCCTAACATATGGTATTTTCTTCAACCTTTTTTTCTTTTTGTTCTGCAGACTCACTCATTTCCATTGTCTTCTTGTTAGGTTTTACTGTTTTCTCCTGCCTGCTAATATCAGTTTGAATCCTTCAGGTGAATTTTTCATTTCAGTTATTGTACTTTTCAAATCCAGAATTTATTGCTTCTTTTTAGGTTTTTCTCTTTATTAATATGTGCATTTCATTCATCATTTTCCTGACTTTGTCCACCTCTTGGGTGTTTTGAGCATCTTTAAGGTGATTATTTTCAAGTCTTTGTCTAGTATATCTGCCAGCAGGTCTTTTCCAGGGATAGTTTGATTAGTTTTTTCTTTGAATGGGCTATACTTTTCTGTGTCTTTGAATGTTTTGTGATTTAACAGTTCAAAACTGGACATTAACAATATCAGATGAGGGCCCTCCCTACTGGTACAAGGGGTTAAAGCACAGTACTATGAAGCTATCCACTGTCACTGCAGCAGGAGTTCGATCCCTGGCACTGGAGGTGACCCATATAGTGGGTCTCCTCCACTGCTCCCCTCACAAGTGTATTTCACTTGATCTTCCTGTTCTGCTCCCCACTCTGTCTCTGGGGAATCCTCTTACCCTCTGCACCTTTGGCCTTTACCCCAGTTCTTGTATGTACAAATAAATCTAAAAAAAAAAAAGACATATTAAAGCTATAAGCAATCCATATAGAAACCAAGAAAATAATATGCTGTTTGGTAGAAATGATTTGACATATAAAATTTATTTATTTGATTATATTTTAAAGGGTAGGTCAGAATCAAACTCATGTTCTTAGTAGAATCACTGTAAACAGACTAAAGGAGCTCTTTGTTTGCTATGGAAACTTTAGACAAGCTGGCCATTGGTAGCCTGGGAAGCCTTTTCCTTCCCTCCAGACACTCCTGCTCCTTGGGAGATTTGGGGAATGTTAGTGACAAATGATCCTGAACAAGCTTGCTAGACCCTTTCAACTCCTCCTGCAGGCAGCAAGGTGAACTGGCTTATTTTTTATCTGAAGTCATTGCTTGTTATGCAGGCAGGTTACCAGAGAATAGAATGAAAAGTTGTCTCCACTGCAGGTAATTTCCAAAGATAGGCATGGGTGAACTCAGAGCTTTTGCCTGGTTAGCCCTTTGGATGATCAGAGAGAGAGAGTTGCTACCAATAGATCTCAGGTCTGTGATCCACTGAGACCTCAGTGTGCTATATTCAGTTCCTTGATGAAAATGTGCTGGGAAAGCCATCTCTGGGTAGAGAAGAGTAGTTTATTACAACGATGGTGCTATAAGAGGAGATTCAAAGCAGCAAACAGCGGGCAGTGTCCTCTCCTCTAGGACCCCAATGATCACTTCACACCTGCCAGCTTTATAGTCCAAGCAAATGCAACTGGGAGAGCAGAGGGTGGCACATGGGGCAAGTTAATGAGGAGACCATCAGTGGGGTCTGTGGACCACTTCAGCTCTTTCTGGATTCCCAGCATTGTTATCTGCAGAACGGAATTGAGAGAACATCAATGCACTGATATAGACAGGAGATTGTGGGAAACTACCACCGTGGGCCAGGGCAGGAAGACAGCCAGAAAGGGGAACAAAGGTGGGGGAGAATCTGGGGAAGCAAGAAAAATAGAGAACACCTGCCAACTTCCTTAGGAAAAGGTAAATTTCAGAAAGGATGGATGGAGGCTCCTTACCCGTGTAGTTGAGGTAGCTTTGGGGGTCTCAAGTCTTAAGATTCCACTTTCTGGCCAGTTGAGGAAAATGGCATAAACAACGGATTCTTTTGAAGTATACCTAGGAAAACAAAAGACAATTTCAAAGACTCCCTGACTCGTAACCTTAGGCGTGTCTCTTTTAGCTACCAATTCCAAGACCTGGGGCTTGGCACTGCCACTGGGAGCACAACCACCCTGATACCCACTGAGGTTCACTGGAAGAAAGTCTCCTATGAAGCTCTTTTTGGTCATATCTTCCCCTTTCCCTCTCTATTAGGTTGAAAGTTTTAAAAAAAATGTAACTGAAGCCATTGCCTTATCATTCAAATCTTTTTTCAACTACGAATCCACGTGGTAACAGCTGAGGGTGTAACAAGGGTAAGATGCAGCGAAGGCAGATGCGTTGTGAGATTTCACCACGAGTAGAGAAGAGGATGAACAGCACTGAGCAGAAATTCACCCAGACTCGCGGGTGGCCTGCTTCCCCTGACCCTATAGTGTGGCACTGGCTACACCTTTTCTGAACACGCAGTGTGAGCCTGGCATTCTGCGTGGTGCTTGATGTTGTCTCATTTAGCTCTCACAGCAACTCCAGGAAGGTTCAGTATCATCACCCTAGTTTACAGTTGTAAAAAAACAGAGGCCTGGATCAAATAACTGGATCCACAATTCCAAGAAGCACGACTCTTTACTTACTAGATTCGTCATCCTAGGCAAGTTAGATTGCTGCCCTGGGCTCCCTTCCTCACTTGTAACATGGGGGTTAACAGGACTGACTTCATGGATAGTTGAGGGGGCTAAGTGAGTGGACAGGGCTTAGAGTGGAGCTTGACATACCGTGGGTGCCACTCACGCATGGACTACTACTTTTAGGAGCAGGGTAACGTGTCACTGATTGATGTTACTACCAGTCTCCTTCACCAAAGATGTGCTGATGGCCTCAGACACGAACTTGGGTACAAATATAATGGCAGAAGAATAGCTGTAGACAGCTGTAGGGCCCCTGCGGTGACTTGCAGCTGGGCTTAACCCCGCCCTGTGGACTCACCAGACGGATGTCGTGTTCTTCTCCAACTGCACCCGCCATGGTTTAGAAGCGTAGATGGCCTCCCCGTTGATGCTCAGCCACTTCCCGACAGCAAGAAGCCTTTCTTGGAAGATGGGAACAATCAGTCCATCTTTAGTTGGTCCAATGTTGAGAAGATAGTTGCCTCCCAAACTCACCGTCTGGACCAGTTCCTGGAAGGTGTGAACACACAGGTGTTAAGAGGAGAATAAATGTCTAAGTAAATAAATCTTTAAAAAAAAAAAAGAGGAGAATTAGAAGCAGAATAATAAAGACACATCATCTCCCTGCTCTGTGAATAGCCTTTATCCTTTTGAAAATATTACATATTTTTGCCATTATAAAAGCAGGACAGGTTTACGTGAGAAAACTGAGAAATCTGCTATAAGATGGAGAAATTGGTTAACGTGTATTCAGGGAGCCATCGGGCACGTCCTTGTGAAGCTGTTTCCAGGGAGTTGGAAGCGGTAGGCTGAGTCAGGTGCCAGCCGGCCAGGGGTGAGCAGAGAAGGTGAGCACAAAGCACAGGGCCGTGAGGCATCACAGGGGCTGGATAGAGCCAACTCCGGGGCCAGAGAGGGGAGATGCAAGTCTGCTGTGGAGACTCTGGGGAGCTGGAAGAGAGCTGAAGTGTCAGAACGTGAGGGGCCACATAAGCACATGCTGGAAAGGGGAAGCGTCCTGCCCACAGACGGTTCTCCGGGCTCTGGCGTGGGCTCTGGGCATACTGCGCCTCCCACCAACCCACGTCAAGGCAGTCACCAGAAATCAAGAGAACATTTAAAAAGATGAATCCCTTTGTTTGCTGTAGTCACCTAAAACTACCCCACACTAACTCTGGATGTTTCCTCCCAGTCTTGGTCTTTTGCCGTTAGTTTTATATGGTTGCCAGAATATGTAGATTACTTTTTAAAATGTAACTCTCTAAGCATTAGCTTACTGTATATTCATGAATATTTTAATAATGAAGGAAACTCCTCAGTCTACTTACTTACCCTTCACAGTGGCAAAAAAAAAAATGAAACCACCCCTACATTCAATAGAAAACGGCCTGAGAAGAAAACCTCTGTCTACAGAGCTTTCTTCTCTAATTATAATTATCTCCTTACAGGCCCTTCCTGGTGGCACAACAGGTTAAAGCACAGCACTATGAAGTCTACAGCCACTGCAGCACGAGTTCCATCCCTGGCCAGGGAGCTGACCCACATCGTGCAGCAGACCTCTGCTGTCTCACTTGCTGCTCCCCTCAGCAGTGTACTTCAGTACACCTGCCTGCTCTGCTCCCCACCCTGTCTCTGGGAACTCTTCTCCACCCCTGCATCTCACGCTAGCACCCTAACTCTTCTATGCATAAATAAATAAAACTTTAAAAAAAACCAAATTTCTCCTTAGGGGAGTTTCTGTGAGGACAGTCAAGAGCCCTAATGGCTCTGACCGACACTCACACCTAGGATGCTGCTACCACGCTCTGTGACGAGGCTCGTTTCAGAAAGGAGCGACTAATAACCAACTCCCAGGCATCTTACTGAAATGATCTCCACATCACTGGCAAGGTTGGATAGCACCATGTTGCGACGGTAGCCCCAGGACATCTTGTCTATGCTGGTGCACATCTCCCACTTGTGATCCGGCAAGGTCTGTGGCTTGAATTTATCTTGACAGTTGTAGTATCCTCCATGGTGGCAGGAGCAGTTCTGGCCCCATCGGTCATTCACTACTACCTCGTCCTAAAGATGCCAAAAGCATTGGATCATCAGGTGTCAATCCATTTAGCTCTGTTTCAACAATTCAAGAGTCTGCTTGCAACAAGGAGTAGGCTTGACTTAGAGAGGCATCCTAGGGGCCCTTTTGCACTAGAGGAGGATTTGGTCAAGTCTGGAGACATTTTCCACAACTGGGGTGGTGCTACTGCCATCTAGTGGCTAGAGGCTAGAGACGCAGTTAAACATCTGAGCCCTAGACAGACCA